GCTGGGAAGCTTGGGTGTTAGCTGGGAAGTTTAGGCGTTAGCTGGGAAGCTTGGGGAGCTGGGAAGCTAGACCTCGCTGGGAAGTTTGTCAGCATGTTTATGTTTGGGTATGTTTGGATTTGTCGCTGGTCTCTTTGCGCAGCTTAGGTGGGCATGCATGCGGCGGTTGCTTTTGTCTCAGATTATGTCTTTAGTAGCTTGAAGTGTGGCTGCAACATGATGTGCAGTTTTTGCCGTTCAATCATTGCGATATCGTCGATCCATGTTTTCCCAGGCCGATGGAGAAATCTCACAAAGTGAGTGAGCTCAACGACTGTCAGGGGCTCAGGGCTCCAAATAGACAGGCTTCCCTGTCTGCCTAACAGTCTGCCTAACAGAAAGGCTTCCCAGCCAAACAAGCTTCCCAGCCATGGACAATCTGCCCAACACACAGGCTTCCCAGCCGTGGCCAAGCTTCCCTGCCACGCGCAGCCTTTTCACGGAGGCGCGCCAGCCACTTCAATCCTTGGATCAAACACGCTTTTTGTTTTTCTTTCAGGTCATCTACTGACTTCTCACGGTTGCAACTTCTCTTCAGCTGGGGGCCCCAAGTCAACAAGTCTGAATCTTGCAGTTTTCGTTGCGTCCAAGGCTCCAAATCCGTAGCAGCGTTTGTCGGCCCAAAAAGCTAGAGGCAGCCACATGCCACCTAAGCGGAAAAGGTTGAGGCCACTGGAGGAAGTGGAAATCGTGTTTCCACACCTGTAGCTCGACTATATGTTTACGTGTGTGTGTGTTGTAAGCTTTTTGCCATGGGTATGTCTCAAATGTGTATTCGACATCTAACACGGCATCGTACTAAGGGATCCATATCCAATTCCAGGGTGCGAGGCTGATTTATATGAATGGCCAACAATACTTCTTCACAGAGTTTGCCAACTCTTCGGAGAGGAGACCGTCAAACGGAAACTGCGAACCTTGACTGCTTTGCGCTTTTCCACGGCTAGAAAAGAACAAAGACTTGTGCATGTAATGGTTCACCTTGTCATCAACGCATATCAACGCCTATCATTGTGTAGAAGTGCTGAGGACACGTCACGTGGAGAGTGTATTCCTTGTTCAGTGGGATGGAATGCATGCGTGAAGCGATGCAGATTTTGGACGTGGCAGTGTCGTCTTATTTTGGCTTCAAACTTGATGTGCAACACATGCTCCACGCAACCTGTGTTGCACATGTCATTGCACACATACTTTAACCAACTACTGTGTGACTAAGTTTGTTGCCTGAGGTAGAGAAGAACCGGGTGTGTCAAAAGTTGCTTGCGGAGAACTACGGTGAGACGTGCTTGGTGGGTGACGTGAAGAACTTGTTGCTCCGTGAGCCAAGTGGAGATAATTGGAACGTCAAGAAGCTGAGACTTGCAAAATCCTACTCTTGCAAAACCCATTCGACAGAGTGCCTTCGTTCTGGGTGGGTGGGTGGGTGGGTGGGTTCTTTGTCCAACTTGTTTTGATTGCGTATAGTGCTGGAAACCCGAATCATTGAATTCCAATGCGAGGTGCAAATTCAACATCGGTCAATTTGCAGTTGGGCACTTGGGCGCCCCATGTATATCCCACAGCAAGAATCTAGCCTTACATTGAGAAAGTTTCTGTAAAGCAATGTCAATTGTTGCCTTACGTTGCAACCCCCAACGATTTTCCATGAGGATCGGAAAGCGAGACAAGTTTGAGAACAAGGAGACAAAAAAACTGCATGACGTTGGAACCAGATTTATGAAGGAGACTTTCTTGTCTTTGCACGAGAATGTGGTTGGCTTTGACGAGGACAGGTAAATTGAGCAAGTTCATACCAAGCAAATGCAACAAATATCAACCAATTAAACCAAACAAAACAGTCCGATGCTTTGATCACGCCTGGCAGGATGAGTATTTGTGCGCTGAAACTGGCTTCAAGATTGAGAAAGCAACGCAGATTGACTTAAATTCAAAAAATCACTTGCAGTCACCCTTTGTGTTCTTCTTCCCTCAGAAAATGAATACTTGGTCACTGCTTGCTTCGTAAGGCTATCGCCGCGGAGATTCGGGGAGCCAAGTTCTCGAGACAGATGCTGGAGAATTCTTTTCAATCCAATGAAAGCTTCGTGGGTATGCCCATTGAGCTTTGAAGAGCTGACAGACACGTTGCTGCTGCCATGGGACGCCCCATTGAAGTTGACCCCGCAGGTTTACATGTTTGAGAAGAAAGATGCTGATTTTGTCTTGTCTCCCTCAGCGAAGGCTCACTTGAAAAGCTTCAACCAGCTGGCACCCAGCAAGCAGTACTATGATTTGGCATCAAACCCTGAACACCGCCTGAGAACTGAAACTTACGATGAGGCTTTGATGACGCTCACCACCAACAGCACTATATGGCAGCTCAATGTGCGTTTACTTTTCGGTTGGTGGTTCACAACCCTTCTGATTTGTCTCAAACTCATAAAACAATATGCCATGCGCTCGACTTGAGGTCCAAGCAGAAGAAGCGATGCATCCAACCGAGAGAGTTGGTCTATTCCCTCGGATACCCTTGCAGGGGAACGCAAGCCAATGCCTTGGGAACTGTATCTTTGCTGTAAAGAGAGTTGTCAGTTATATACTATAGCAGCTGGTTTTGATGGTGTGCTATGAATGAGCTTCTGCAACATGAAGTGAAATTAAGGATGCGCGAAGCTTTGACGGTTTGACAAAGTCAGCCATCACAAAGATGGCAGGCAATGGGATGCACGTCCCAAGCGCCGCTTTTACTTGCTTGGTTGCGTTGCTGTGTGTGGACCTGAATCCACACGACTAACTCACAAAAGAGGAAACACAACGCGCGCGGTCCATTGCTGTCAAGGGTGGGGGTCCTACTTCATGAAATCATTCGGAATTCAAAGGTGGGAAGCCAAAGGCTGGGAAGCCACAGGCTGGGAAGCCACAGGCTGGGAAGCCACAGGCTGGGAAGCCACAGGCTGGGAAGCCATAGGCTGGGAAGCGAAATGATTCAAGGGTGGGAGGCCGCGAATGATTGAGAACAATCTCGTATGGGCAGGTGGCTTGGCTGACATGAACGGTCAAATGTGTGAATCATGAGCAGTATTGAGTACTATGAGACCATGAAAGAAAGTAATAGACATGCTTTAAACGCAATCCAAATATGATGAACATTATGTTCAGTTTACATGTTACATCAGCGCAATCGAAAGACAAAACAAGGCTCAGCCTGTGGCAAAAACCCGTCATGACTCATGATATTCTTTGTTGTTTCCCCACGTTTCTCCTAGTGCCCCATGATTCTTTTGATGGCGAATGCCTCCTTTCCAGGATGAACCTGAAGAGGTGTCAGTTCCCCAGAAGAGTCGGCGATTGTTGGGCGGGCCGGTGCAACGCAATAGAGAATTGATTCGTAGGCCTGCGCCTGCTCCGACTTTGTTTGGGGAGGAGCCAGAGGAGCACTCACGGCAGCAAAGTTTTTCTTCCAGCGCACCTCCCGATGATGATGGCAATGAGTCCTCGTCCGATGACGAGGGTGCGTCCCAACCAGCAATGCTGAATGTCGGTTGGAGTGCGCTCACTCTGTTTTCCAAGGCAAGCTTCATGAAAGAAGCTGCCAAGACAGGTAAACCAGAGGCGAAGAAGAGACCTTACAACAATACCAACAGGGCTCAGCGCGCAGCTGAGTCTGACAGGAAGGAGCACCGGAGCTACAAATCAACTGCTTTGGACCCAAGTCGATTGACTGCCCTCGAGCAAAGCTCTAAGTGCAAGTGTGGCTTTTATGAGCTCAGTCGCATGTGGGTCTTTGAGTCCTTGAGCTTTCATAACTGTATTTATACATATACATATGGAGAGGGTAGAAGCGTATGCCATTGAAGATGCAGTGCAAGCACTTCCATCGGTTTCCTGCCTGCAGGTGCTTTGCAAACTTGCTTCAAGCATTTGAAATCAGATGATTGCAAACTTTTTTTGGAGACGTTCTGGAACATGGCAAAATGCGAACAAGATTCCTTTGCACCGTAGCAGCAAAATACTTTTCAAGTTGAGTGTTCTTCTCTCTGTATGTGCGTCCGTTGGCAACTAAGTTGCACACTACAGTGGGTGGGCATCGCTTGGACGCCCACAAGATGCAGTTTAGTTTTCTGGGTCACAACGTTGGCAGAGCCTGCCTTTGTGCCATTTTGGCCATTGGGAAGAGCAGATTTGCCAAGTGTGTGAGTTTGCAGCATGACATGCGCATAGGAAAATCAAAAGCAGGCACCCAAAGATGCGCTGCGTCGGTTGATGCCTTCCTGACCGTGATTTACAACGGGGTAGCAGAGACCCTGCCCGACAGGCGCGCGTCCTCAAGCATGCAACGCATTCTTATATCCCTTTACAGCCCATACAAGTGGTGTTAAAATCTTTCTCTGCCAGGTTCATCCGCCGTGGCAGATCTTCGGGGCAAGAGGACCCCGATTTCGACATTGATTCTGACTGCGAAGTGGAGGAGATGCGTGACTTCTTAGATACTCCGGGCAAAGGCCCCGTGTGGCAGATGCTGCAGCACAATGAAAGGAAAGTTGCCAAGTATATGGACCCAGGCACTGTGGCAGACTTGTATCAACACTATGTTGCAACACGTCAAATGTTCGGGGCCGTTGCAGTATCGTAGCTTGGTCATATTGGCATGGGTGTTGTGATCACAACGCTTGTCAAGTTGCAACGTCAGAACTTGCCTGACGTCGTTCAAAGGTATGGTACCTTTCTGAAAGTCTACAAAGAAAGGTGGCAGGACATTCTCAAGTTCCGAGAGAAGAACTTGCTACCGGTCAGTTAAGCCTTCTCAATCATTTCCCAGTACTTACCCAGGCGTGTTGTTCTGGCAATGTCATTAAGGTTCTCAGCGTGCGAGCTATGTTGGCACTTCAAGAACGACATCGCTCAGGCAAAGAGCTTGGAAGAACGACTGGGCCAGCTCATCAAGTATCGTCAACACCTCGCTGATCAGTACCAAGATCGTGTTATAAGCTGGGGCCTTCAAGAGCTCGTTCTGGATGATCCATCTGACCTGGTCGTAATCCAAGTCGACGGCCTAGATCAAGCCAAATTTGCACTCCCCCGCGATCCCAAGCTACGAGCTACATCCTCAGTGTCATTCAGATGCATTTTAGTGATGGGAGTGACTCGTGCTTTGCAACGTCGGTTTGAAAACTCCTCACGTTTCTGCATTGGCGCCAAAAGGCCCACGGCCAAAAGGCCTAAACTCAAAATACATGGCGCCTGGGCCTTCGGCGACTCAGCTGCGTGCTTTTGTTGTGGATTCACAAAACGCTTGAAAAACAACGGAGTGAAAGCTACCGCTTGAAGTTTTGGCGAGGCTACTCACTCGAAGTGAGAGTCATGGACGATTGTTTGAGACATGACTCCAGCTCTGTGACTGAAGTGATCGCGCAAACCCTGGAAAGGGTGGCGCTGTTGCTTGTCAAAAAAACCTTTGTGGGCACTGTTCAACTTGGATCCAGTCTTGGCATCGTTAAACTTGGCAATCAAGGATCTGCGCAAAGCGACATCGACCCATGCCACGGAACTGCATACCTAGAGGAGCGTTTGTTAAACAAAATGTTTGACAAATGGTCAAACGTGAAGAATAAAAAAATTCATTACAAATGGTCTTGGGACATCAAAAGTAGCATGTGTTTGCATGCAAACACCAATGGAATTATGGTGTGCAACCATATGAAACTATCAAAATTAGCATGTGTTTGCA